TAACGGGGCACCCTGAAACTTGTACTGGTGACAGTACAAGCTACTTATTCTGATGACAGAATAAGGCGGTGCCTCGTAACTTCACGTACACTCGTACGTGCAGAGGAAGACGGTAAGAAGAAGCGAGTACTTGGTTAAAGTAAAAAGTAGAACTGTATTTATCATAGTTAATGTCTGCAATAAATCACTATTTATCTTCATCTAACTATGTCTAAATACAAATGTGTAAATCAACTATCTGCTCACCACTCATTGCGTGCGTCTGTCGTGGCGCGTCTTCGTTGGTTGATATAATGGCCTATATCAACCAATTAGGAACTACTCGTAAGTGCTGCAGAATATTTGTCCTTATGACAATATTCTGAGAATATAACTCTTATAGTTATATTCTATTAACAATTTCTTATAAATTGTTATGTAACGATTCACCCCGTAACAGGTACCCCGATTCCGTGTATGGACCTTGACCAACCTTGTGCACCATTCTGCTGGCAAGTCGAACTCTTCGGTCGAATCAGACGGAGAGGAAGATGTCTTAGTAGTGATAGAGCTAGACCTGGGTTACAAGTGAATATGCTTCATTGGTGGGCCGGTAGGTGGCCACTTAATCGATCTAGTCGATAGTAAACATGTAACCAAATTCTTGAGATAGCTTGTCGCTTCTGGCCTTTATAGTACTTCCTGATCATACGGTAGAAGACAGCTTCCGATAAAGGGTCTAGAATGAGGTGATGCTACTCGACAAATCCACAGGCCAAATGCCTTTTAGGGTCTATCTGCAATTGAGTATTAACTGCAGCTGTCTTCGACAGGGGCAAAATTCCGTTCCCCTGAACAGGCGGGTAGACTTACCAAGTTACTTAATGCACGACGAAGTCGTACGACGTGGATTGCAAATTGAGTAAAATACAATACTGTCATATCCTTTGGCTTTTTTACTCTGTTCTGCCTTTGTGCTGTGGCTCTTTATGTACCTATCCAGGGGTAGCTGATTCTTTAGGGGCCAGTGAGGGACCAGATGATATAGTGAGGGACAGTGGTCTGCTCTTGGGGATCGGACCCACCAATGAGAGCTTGTGGCTATCTTCTTTCGGCACCGCCAAAGTGGGAATCGAGCAAAAAACGTTCTTCTTCTTGATTGGCTCTGCGGGTTCCTCTACCCCGAAGGTCTGACCACTTTCGTGACTCCTTATCCCAGGATCCCTTTCCTTGAAAGTACACCCTTGTCAACTTATACTGATAGTCCCTGGATCCATTGTCTTTCTTGAGCGCACTTCACCACACATGTCACCCGTACAAATTGCGTTCCACCGTTCTTGTTCTATGGTTGATACCTCACAACTCCTGACTCATTACTATCGGATATTAAGAGTTTTCCAAGGGACAACAAATCATACAACTATGCTTCTGTACTAAGGAAGTCACATTCTTGTACAAAATTGCTTAGTTGAAGGGGGATAAAGTGTAGTAAACCAACGAATAAAGATTGTAGAGTGCTCTGAGTGGTAGCAGCAAAAGGATGTACACCTGAAGTACAATTCGTATTGACCGTGAATGCAATCGAGATCTATACCTGAATAAAAACAGTATTGATCATTTTACATCATCCATTTTACCCTTTCCACCACCTGAAACCAAATAGGCTTGTTCAGATTTTATGTCACAGCACAGGGCACAAGGTCACGCGCCGCATGATTGCGAATGCACATATTGTCCAGAAGATAAACACTACTCTAGGTTTGAGCTGATTAATGTGATGGTCAATGTTCCTACGAACGAGGTAGCTGATGAAGAGCACGGCTCTGGTCGATGAACTGAGGTTTTGTCAGCTATCACGCTACAAATTGGCTCGTTGCATCAAGACTGAGATCATCGCGATTGTTCTTCACTTGCAGCTCCACGAACAGTGCTTGTATTGGCATTTACGTGTTCAAAAAAGCTTGTGTCTCTATGCTTCTTATTTCATTTACCGCGTACTACGCTGCAGGAGTCTCCGGATAATCCTGTCGAAGAAACGCAGTTTAATCTTATGGACACACCTACTACCTCAATCTGAACGCGTTGCCTTTGCTGCTTAACCGTTAAACGTCCAGCATGAGTATGCGTATCAAGAAGGTCTTTGGGCATGTCATGGTTATACGCTACTTTGTGTCAAGTCACATCCTTCGGCTTGTCGACAACGATCTGTCGTGCTATGAGTCTGTGCTCTTATTGTGGGAGCTTGTATTGGTATTCCGCTCGATTGCAGCATCATTTTTGTATTTTACGTGATCGCATGCATCGATCATTTCCCCTCGTGTAAGATTAAATGTAAAAAAATTAAATGCTTTTAATTGAAGAGCCGTAACCATCTCTCTCGATGACATTTACTTGACTTCGATAATCCCAATAGACTCAATAAAATTGAGTGTTTAGTGTGTCTAGCTGTCGTTAATTTGAAATGATGAAGCTGATCATAATTCCCTCCAGACGACGTAACGTACCGGCACGCCATGATGAAGCACTAAATGCATCTAGAAAGGCGGAATAGGATGAGCACCGGGGCATCTTTATTGTAACGGGACCCTTTGTTTGGGTCACCACGAAACTTCACGTACACCAGCCCGTGCAGAGGAAGCTAATCTACTCAACAACTATGTTGAGTAAAGGGTAAAAAGAGAAATGTATTGAATATAGTTTAGTAATCAACATAACTTTAATCTTGAAATAACTACATTAACCTACGTCGTCGTATGACTACAACCTGCTCACCACTCATTGCGCGCGTCTAGCAGCGATTGGTGGTAATTTATGGTTGAAATGTCTCTAATCAACCAATCTTTGAGCAGCACATGAATATTGTCCTAAAGGGGGATAATATTCCTTCGATATTGTCCATCTCGGATAATATTGGTAGGATATTTTCATGCTAGACAATTTCCCTATTGACACCGTTTGGTGTCAATATCAGCTAACGGGCTACCCCTTACATCACCCCCCCTTAACCACCAATCACCCATTGATTGAATAGAATTGATTGGGACAGGGTGACCACCGTCGGATCACTTTAGGAAAGGGAGCACTTGTTGGTCAAATTCCATTCGTTTGTCAATCGACGCATGGTTTCGAAACCCAAGCGAGTTGCTACTGCAGCAGCAAGAAAGGCGGCTGAAAGAATGTGTGCAGCCGGAGAGAGTATTTATCACGCCTCAGCAGCAGGTGATTCGTCACCTGTTGTTGTGAACATTCCACGTGATGAGTCACCACGTGCGGCAGGTACATCGCTGCGTCTGCAGCGGTAGCGCGAATCGTAACCCAGAAAAGCCTAAAATAGAGCTTACCTATTCTAGCGATTCAGATGATGTATCAGACTCGAAGGAGACACATCACGCCTCCAGATCTTCCAGGGCGGACACTGCAAGAGCCAGGTTGAGTGGCTCTGGTCAACGTGGCGGCATCATGTTCGAGATCTTCGGATCGAGTGATTGTTCCGATAAATCCTAGCCATACGCGAGTCCATCCATCGACAGGATGCGCGGTGATGGTGGCGATGCCTGTGAGCATCACCACGAGCGAAGTAACTCGACGGATTCAGGTGTCACTGGTTCCAGTGCTCATGCTGACACCAATCAAGAGGCCAGGGACCGAAATGTCCTGCGCCATGCTCCTCAAGTGGAGTCTCCTTGGATGCCGTCATCCCAGCAGTTGGACTGGTTGGCCGGCATGACTACTGATCGGGATCGAATCCCGTTGTTCGACTGTAGGAAGATATGTTCACCTAATTCCAGCACGGAAATTATCCGTGCTGAGGACGAATTCTTCACCGATGCATTATTCAAACATCGGTGGTACAACGGCAACCGTGCTCGAGACGATGAGCCTTGTAGCAAGGATGGGATGCCTTCATCCATAACATCGAGTGCATTAGCCTTGAGGCCTGGCTTGCCAAACTTGACGCAGCTCGCATCAGGTTTAAAAAGCGTAACCCAGTCGGTGTACGATACAAATTGTACCGACTGTCAAGAGAGGCAAAATTACCCTGTCTCGCGTAGGGTGATTCGTGTCCAGGTTGCCTGGATAGCTCGAACCGTTCCCCTGCGGAGGCCTGACTCCCTAATTATCCCCACTGGAGGGCGCGCATCTCTTCTGATATGGCCGAAAGGATTGACACTATGCAATCCCTGTACTCGTGTTCGGGAAGGGGTTTTCTGACGACCCTTCTTCGAATGCAGCGGGTTTGTGTCTTCATACTGCTCGACGAGACAGAATATTATCTAAAAGCTTGGCTGGAGGCTCTCAGATCTCCTAAGCCGGTATATAGCCACGCCAGCGGACGAAGTAACTCGCCCGGACGCCACTCACGTCTCGGTGGTTCAAAAGATACGCTCCACCAGAAAGCGTTGACCACCGCCAGAGTCCACCAAAGCATGTAATGGTGGTGGGAACACCTGATCCGGCTCGAACGTTGGATCAAGTTGATGTTCAGGAGCTGAACCGTCTAACGGATTAGTTGCAAGATGACATGGCTTACAAAACGACTCGGCGTTATGAATTTGAGGATTTATAAGGGATGATTACAATTCCCTTACGCACGATCGTCCGAACGATCGTGCCGCGTTTGCGTTTGCACAACTCGAGAACGAACGTTCGGCTCATTCTCTTAGTGCCGAGATGGCTGCAGCTCGTCAGGACATCGCTCAGCTGTGTTGGCAGATCGCTTCGCTAGTCGACCATACTGGCTCGTTGAAACGGGACCACTCGAAGGTGGTCTCGGCCCTTGACCGCGGAGGTGTTCTTCGCCTCTCAAAACAGGCTCGTACTAATAGTACAAGCGGAAACGTCCAACGTAAATCGAAGGATGCGTGCGCATCCTACGAGGCAGTTCAATTATGCATTCGTTGCTTGTGCGACGCAATACACGAAATTGACCGATTTTCTTGGGCAGTAATTTACTGCTGCCCACGTTTGTCACTGCGTGTTTTATAGATCTACAGTTGACAGTAAAACTAAGTTTCCTTCATTTAGCGAAAGAATGTTCGATCTTCCATGTTTGTCTGCGTTACTTTTCCGCTTAACGATTGCATCTGCAATAGAGTCTTGAACGAGCGGACAACCGTTTCGCGAGTCAGCAGCAATTCCTGTGCTGATTTATCCTTCTTAACAGCTGTGCGCTTCGTGTGCACTGCTGAAAGAACGTTGTCTTCACCAGTGAGGGTATCATCGTCCTCACTTTGGCAGTCATTGGCCACGCTGAATATTCCAGCACCATCGTCATCGGCGTCGGTGTGATCGACATCAGCATCCATCACGTCGACACTATTGTCGACGTGTGATGAGAAAGAACCGAATCAGTTTTCGTTTGAGCGAGTCCACCCCCCCCCTAAAACTAGGTTCACACTCTAAGAAGGCGGGTAAACGTGGATGGCGTAGGCCATTTCTGAAGAAAGGTGTATGAGTTGTCGACGCGTGCACCGATTTGTTGATGGCGAATTCCGCCATCGGCGAGAACTCACTCCAGGTCGTAAACGAGTGGACAAACAATCGAAGTATCTCTTCGAGGACGCTATTGACGCGTTCCGTTTGACCATCTGTTTCTGGATGGTCAGCAGTCGATATCGTCAAACGTGTTCCAAGTGAACGGAACACGGATTGCCAGAACTCCAATGTGAAGCGGGGGTCCCTATCGGACACGAGTTCACGGGGTAACCCGTGAAGTCGGAAGATAGCATTGGTGAAGACACGCGCACAGCCCTGGGCTGTAATTGACTCCGGTACAGCAACAAGATGTACCATCTTGCTGACTCGATTAACAAACACAAGAATACCTTTATTCTTGTAAGCATCTTTGGGAAACCCGAAGACGAAGTGCATCGGTACGGACTGCAAACACTCTGCCGGAATCGGAAGAGGCTGGAAGGGTGCGCGGGATGAAGGACTAGGCTTCAATCATTGACAAACTTCGCAAGCGCGAATTTATTTCCGCACAAACTCACACTGGCGGGGCCAGTAGAAGTCACGACATACGGTGAGGTAAGTCTTTTCTCTACCACGATGTCCACTTGTTGGGGCATCGTGACACTCAAACGTGATGCGCAATCGCAAATCATTATGAGCGGATAAGATGACACGAGGTGTGTCGCCGTTGAATGCTGGATAGTACAGCTGTCCATCTCAAACAGAATACCGTTCGGTTGAGAAGCTGTATCGAGACGACAAGCTTTTCAAAGCTTGACTGCATGGATTAGACACCTAATCCATCAATCGCAGAAGATGACTCATCTTCTGCGTATGCTTTGCGCACGTCCTTGAGCAGATTCGACGACGGAACACTCACTGATAGTGTCGCTACAGTGGGATCACCCCTACTGTTAAGTTAAGCAGTCGGCTCGAAATCGGGCCGACGCGAAAGAGCATCAGCGACGACAGTAAGTCGTCCTGGTTTATAATCGACGGAGAAGTTGTTCTCCGCGAATAAAGACATCCATCTCGCCATTCGTTGCGAGAGGTGCGGACTGTTTACGGCCGTGCGCAACGACGCATGGTCGGTATAAACGATGAAGGGCCTTTCTCCTAAGACATGTACCCGAAACTTAACCAGTGCATATTAAATGGTAAGGAGTTCCTTGTCATGCACCGGATAATTTGTCTCAGCTGCTTGCAGCTGACGCGATTGATAATAGACGACGCGCTCAACGCCGTATGAGTCGTACTGCGTTAATGCGCAGCCGATTGCAAAATCGCTGGCGTCACAGACCACACGAAATGGCCTATCGAGATCTGCAATCGCCAACACAGGCGATTGCACCAAGATTTTGTTTATGCCCTCAAAAGAGTGCTGATACTCAGCGCTCCATGACCACCTCTCGTTTTGCTCTCGCAGACGAAAGAGATCCAAGGTCATCTCGGCATAGTTGCGCTAGTATTTGTGCAAATACGCTGCCAAGCCAAGGAGCTTTCGAAGTTACTTGAAGTCGACTGGCACAGGCCAGTCGCAAATCGCCTTGATCTTTTCCGGATTAGGGCGTACACCGTTTTTACCCACGATGCAGCCAAGAAGTAATATTTCATTCGCTGCGAATATACACTTCTTGAGGTTCGCGAACAACTTACGCTCTCTCATTAGCGTAAGAACCTTCCGGACGTGGATTCTATTAACCTCCACGTCCGTCTTTCCATCCATAGCCTGTCTATCGACGAAGACATCGTCGAAGTAAATAGGTGCGAAATCGCGGACCGATCGCAACAGATTCGTAACAAATCTATTAAACGTTGCAGGGGCGTTACTTAGCCCCTGTGGCATCACTAGCCACTCCCAGAGCATACCACTGGGGGTGCCCACTGCTGTGTGAGGGATATCCTGTTCACGCTTAAGGATCTGATAGAATCCATCCATCAGATCCATGGATGAAAAGATGGTATTTTTGCCATACCATTAATAATCACGTCATTCCTTGGGATCGAAGTCTGAGCTGGTACCGTTGCAGCGTTCATTTTGTTGAACGCGTGCACTATCCTCCACCCTCCTGTGGTATTTCACACACAGAAGGTCGGAGAGCTGTGTGGGGATGTTGATTCTCTCACATGACCAGCCGCTGAACGATCGGCAAAGAATTTGTCGATCACTGTTACTGTTCACAAAGCGGTGGCCACTGCTTCATGACACAGTACTGTAGACCTAGTTTCAGTTCGGTTTCATGCCGAGTGCCCTTGTCTCTAGGCAGCTCGCGTGGCACGGAATCAGGGAGATCATCCCTACATTTCACCAATTTTTTTACACAAAGGATTTGCCTTTAAATCCCCATAAGAGTGAGACGTGTATCACTCAATCCGTGTCTTTTCATTGAGGACACTCTCGTCCATCGATGAGCTACAAAGAACCCGTTCGTTCTTAGCAAACACTTGTGCCGAACGATTATCGGCGACGTACCCGTCCTCTGTGACGAGTACGCAGATCTGCTTGATCTTTCACTACGCAGATCTCGCAAGAATCTTTTGAATTCTATCCGGGGAACCTTAATAAACTTCAAGCTGACTTCGGCGGCGTAACCAGATCAAGTGCATAAGCGCCTACCCTTGATCCGTCATACACCAAGACATTCCCCGTCCCGGTATTTTCCTGGGAAAACACATTCGCAGGTGGTTAGGGATCCACACCCTCAACATAACTCTCTCGGAAGTTATCACTCTCAGGAACGCTGGAACGTTCTTCCATTACGTGTACCGACTGTGGGTGTACTACCACGGTCATGTACTCTTCGATCGACTCTCTTCAGTCCATCGGGCTTACACTACGACCAATGCTCTGATAGTCGATCTCGCTTCAACGTGTTATTCATCCTGAGCAACACTCATCTCTCTTCTTGGATGCAACCTTCTTAGTGTGCATCCGTGTTCCAGTCCACTCGATCTCTTCGAGTGGTGAACCTTCGGCGCAGCATGAGTCTCTACACAGATGCCGGAAGCTGGTTCCACAGTGTTGTGGCCTTCTACAATGTGATCTTGTGCAATCGTACTAACGACCGTACCCCAAATGAGGCCATTGCACTCACTCGTAGTACATCCACACGCTTGTGGACGCTCCAAGACGTTCAGCAGATGGCCATCCGATGAACAAACGGCAGGCGTCTTCACGGATCGATGCCGCCAGCTAATCCATGGATGGTACTTTCTAAGCCATGGCAGACCGAGGATGACATCAAATTTTCCAGTACGATAAAGTCATCATCGTACTGCTTTCCTTCTAGCGTGCAGTCAATTCCCACTACACGTTTGTGTACTGTTACGGATGCGCCTGTAGCAAGGCACACCGCCAACCTCGTTGGAGGAAACTTTCGGTCAACATAGTTGAGACTACTATCCCCTAGCGACTGGCGTCGAATAAAACGGTTCGACGCGCCACAGTCAACTAGGGCGCAAAGTTACATTCCACTCGTCACTTCGATCTTCGAAGTGATGAGAGACTCCTCATCACTAGGGGCAGTAACACACAGCGACTGTGTGTTGGGAGCAATCTTCGTTTAGAGTCCTGCAAATTCTCTTGACGTTGCTGGATCAGCAGGGGGAGCTCCGCCCCTACTGGCCCTGTCTGTTTTTGGCGGTTCGACTTGATGTCGCGGTTTAGCGACATGGCGGACCCGCGCCTTGGACCTATCCTTGGCAAACGGTCATCACGTCCTGTCTTGGACGTGTTGTAATGCTTGAGAAACTACACTCATATACGTAGTACCCAATCTTCTAACAGCGATGGCATTTTTCCGTTCGCTTATGACTCAGAGAGCGATAGTTCTCGCTTTCGATGTAACAGAGGTCCATTGATTCGGGACCTCCTGTCTTCTGTCTCCTGTCGTCACAATGGACGATAGTCTGACGAGTTAGCCTGTGACTGTCTCAGGCTGAAGTCTTCTTGTTCCGCATACGCTATCACCTTTTCCAGCGCATGGAAGTCCTCTCGGAACGTGTAGGTCTTCACCGGCCCATCCACAAGGCCGTAGATGAACACGTTGATGAGCGTGTGCTCATTAACAGGGTTCTCCGTGACGCTACTTGCAAGGTAGCGTAGGTGTTGTGCGTAAGCGTGCACGTCACGCTTACCTTGCTTTAGCCTCAAGAGTGCAGATCGTGCTCTGAACTCGGCTCTCGGCGGCTCGAACGTCTCTTTAAGCCGAGACTTCAAGATCTCCAACGACTCAAACACGTTTGGGTCGTGAAGCTTGAGCCCTAAGGCCCAAGTCTTTGCTCGTTCCGTCAAATTTGACAGGGCGAAGGTGACTTGCATCTCGTCACCCTCGATGTGACGGGCCCTGATGACATCGTCTAACTCGACGAAACATCTCACAAGAGAATCTTCATCGGTTACCTTGTACCTTGAGAAATCTATCTTCGTTGTTTCGGGTCGACGCATGTGCGTCGGCCCACCCATCGACCGATGAGAGCCTTGCTATTGTAGCAGGCTATCTTCTGTCTTTCGACGGCAAGTTCCCCTTGCAGGAACTTGTTGATAGCAGCATGTTAATGGTCTCTTTTTAGAGACTCCAACATGCCACTGATGGCGGGTTCGCCCATGAGCATGCTCATGCGTCCGACTTTTCCCTTCTAAGTCACTCACATGGGAGTAGCTCTCACGTGTGACGTGAAAGCTGTCGTCTTCTACGTCCAACATGTTCATATTGAACGGACTCTAAGTGGTCGTTGGACGGACTACAAAGTGCTACCAGGTGTAACGGTGCACACTTTGTTTGGAGTGCAACTTCACGTACACCAGCACAGGCAGAGGAAGCTAATCTACTCAGCAACTATGTTGAGTAAAGGTTAAAAGAGAAATGTATTGAATGTAGTTAAGCTATCAATATCACATCAGTTTTCATCAAACTTTGATAATCTACATTGTCGTATGATGGCAACCTGCTCACCACTCATTGCGCGCGTCTAGCAGCGATTGGTGGTAATCTATGGTTGAAATGTCTCTAATCAACCAATCTTTGAGCAGCACATGAATATTGTCCTAAAGGGGGATAATATTCCTTCGATATTGTCCATCTCGGATAATATTGGTAGGATATTGTCATGCTAGACAATATCCCTATTGACACCGTTTGGTGTCAATATCAGCTAACGGGCTACCCCGTTACATACATGAAGGAGCCAAAGGGGATGACTCTGGACGAAAAAGAGCTAAACAGTATGGGAGCAATGTCATTAAGTGAATTTTCACTACTGTGGATAAAGCCACGGTATGAACTTAAACAGGATGGACGGCTGTAGAGAAATTCACTTGACGCCAAGCTGCAAAAAGGTGGATCACAGCAATGTACAACAAACATGTGCCTTTACTGCAAGTACAAAGAAAGACATGCACAGTCATCGGTGTCTGTGTGGATTACCAGTTGGCGACAGGCACCGAGACAAGCGCTGTAGACGGATTGCTTCCCGAGATGAGCTCGTTGTCCATCAAGGACCTGGGAATCTTACCCTTTTTTTTTAAGTACTAATTCAACTGGACAACTAGAGCGGATACGTTTTGGATCGAGAGGTCAGGGTTGACCTGTGGATGAAGGAGTTCGGGATGGAGTCATTAAATGGAGTGTAGACCCCTACAGTGGACGAGTGTAATCTAAATAAAGAGCACGATCTGGACTATCTATCTACGAGAGGTGCAAAGGGTGACCTAAGCTTGAAGTCGTTCCATTCGCTGGTGGTATTCTCACTACGTTTTGCAAGATGTTTTTGCGTCCAGACATTTGCTTCTAAGTGCACAAGGCCACAATACAGACGCACAAGCCAACGAACAAGGACTGGAGGACTGCCATGTGTATCGTGCGATACTTGAAGATATCAAAGGATCTGAAGTTGCACCAAAACGGTGTCGGGCCAACTTCAGAGGACGTTCGGATTGAGTTTTGTAGTGATGCATATTTCGCCGCCGACAAGGCTGACTGTACGTCTGTGTCGGGATGTGTGCTGACTATGGATGGATCTGGCTTTGGATGGTGCTGTTTTTCTATCGTCACGCAAGAAGCAATAATGGTTGTCGTTGAGTATGGTGAAAGCTGGGTCATCTCAGCGTCGCAAGCCGGACGTGAACTACTAGTCACGAAGGGAGTGCTAAACAAGCTAAGGGTGCATGTGCGCGAGGCTATGAGGATTTAAAAACAAGTCGCCATCAAGCAGATCGAGTCGATGAAGATCACTTCAAGCGCCAATTTTGTGGATGTTCGATTCAGGTTCATTTGTCGTCATGCGCGCGAAGGGACTTTCGTGGCATGATTTGTGAAGTCGTAGGACACGATGGCCGACATACTAACGAAGGCACTGCCGGCACCAAGCGTGGAAGAGATGCGAGCGATGTTCAAGTTGGAGGCCACACAGGATGACACCGAGTAGGAGTGTTCGAAGCTAACACGTGTAAATGGATTCAAGGTTCTAAGGGTATGCCATATGACGGTCTCACCTGATTGGCCAGTGGTCAGAACCGGTTACGTGTGGGACGACGATGAGATGATCGGATCGAGAACAGGCAGAGACTGGACAATTAATTGACAGATGGGACAGCGAGGTGGTAACTTAAAATTGAGACAAGACGATACGGTTTAATGCGGGACTATTAGATGAGCAGGAGGGAAAGTGCCATCGGACCAGTACACGGTCAAGTTGCAGTGCAGTTCAGATGCATGTTGTAGTATTGACAAAGGAGGATAGTTACTGCTGAGTATAGTTTACTTTTACTTCGAACTATCTTTGAACAAGTCCAGATCAAGACGCATCATGCATCAACAGGTATGTTGCGCTTGCAGTAGATCACAAAGGTGCTGCTATTCATGGTTGCCGGCAATGTGTAGGAAGAGGCGGGCGTGGATGTTGCTACAGTGCTGAGCTGCTTCCGGGCCTTAGAGTAGATGCTCGAAACCATGATAAATACGAGCAGCTTTAACGCGAAAGGATATGAGGTCATTACCGGAGTTGTAACGGTGTTGTCATCGGTTTGGCTGATGCTGTAGGGATCACAAAAAGTTATTCGATCAGGCCGTGGATACCATTGGCACGATGAGGTTCGAGCGGTAGAAGCAGTTCGTGCAAGGCGAGGTTGCAAGCAGGTGTGTGTGTGAAAACGATTGGAGTGTCGATATTTTGATTCAGAAATCGTCTCATGTTGTCGTTGTTGGGCTGTCGATAGGTTCGAACCTGTTTCGAGGTTGCATTGAAGATGCCCAAGGAGTCCGAGAAAAAAGTGCCCAAGATGTCCCTGTCGGGATTTCAGCGCGATGATGAAGTAGTCGAGAAGGTAAACTGATAATGTGCATTCGTTGTGGATCATAGTCGTTTCCAAGTGATTGCGTGTGATTGCCCGTTCGTTCGGACTCCCTGACAACTTCCGACAAGTCTTCGGATTCACCTTGAATGTGGAAGAGTCGAGTGTTCCTGATGTTGGCCAAGGTGTCAAGTTACTTGGTCATGCGTCCATAGGATCATTAGTGGTACGCTTGCGCCTTGCTGCTGATTTTTTGACATTACACTCGATTCTGTGTACGGCGTGCTCGTGAAGGCGCTGAATCCCGGCATCGTCTTCTTGCCGGAGCATTACAAAAAGGTGTAGGTGATTGTGTTAAAAACTCTGTCTTGCTCTCTTCGCTCATTTCGTTTATGACAGAAACAATACATAAGCGAGTTATCGAACAACCCGTACGCTCGTGCTCGCTTTGACAGCTTGATTATTGACGCCAAGAATGAGCGTAAGGGTTTTGTTTGCTGCTGTGCTTGTCGCCAAACAAGGAGCTCTTTTGCTAAATAGAGCGTGCCAACACAGCGTCAGTTCCGCGCAATCCACTTGCCGTGGCTCACAAGATCAATCATCCTCCCAGCGGTATACTCCCCAATGTCGTTGGCTTTGCCTTTGAGTTCCTCCAGAAGGTTTGACGATGAAGAATCGATCGCTAATGAACGATCTTTTGGCTGAAGTTGATGTGATGTTGACCAACTAATCACTGCTTATGTGTTGAGCCATCAGGACTGGTTGCTGCGAAGCAATTTGACGAGATGATTCCGAATAGTTTGTCAAAGCACCTTCGCGCCTCTCCATGTTCGGCAAACGTGCTATCGTGCATGTATATTTCAGTAGCCGGGTTGGCGTTCTACTGGGCATATACACACTAAGTCTTTTTTATTGTCATGCATGACAGGGTCTTGCTTTCATCGCAACGGCAGATATAGCAGACGGAGAAGAGCTGTTTCTCAATTATCGGTGCGTCTTCCTGTTGAGGTCAATATGTCGTGCCTACCCCGACTGATCGCTATCGTGAACGCTCCACCAGCTACAATCCCGATCGTCCGCTTCCTGGATGGTACACAGCTGTCGACGTCGATAGTGATCGCGCAATGTGGAAATAGCCTGCGAGAATACCAGCACCGGTCTTGACGATTCTCAACGACAAGGGGATGTATTGATGTGCTTACGTGCGAGTTTTAAGCGGAATACAGCAGCAAAGCATCTCCACCAGACGAATTACGTCCGAGGATCCTCGACTTACGAATGCAGCTGAAGCTTACAGCTTGTAGGCTCTTCAACTGTGCTCATTTGGGAAACTCTGCAATGTTGGACAGAATGATGCCTACGATGACGCCCAAAATGCCGAGCGCACTAGCGAAAATCTCCACAATCAAAATTGTCACGTACAGCGCTGCGTTCTGAGCGTCCGCAAGTACGCAGCTAGTACCAGCGATACCGACGGAGACCCTGCATCAAGCAAGTCGTACAAGTTAGAGCATGATGACATATCGACATCTCTGACACCATCCATGTCATGTCAACAGCTCGTACCCGCTAGCAAGATTCGTCAAACCCACTGCGATTCCCGACCCAAAGACCGCGTAGCCAGCAAAGTACAGCGCGTGTTCGTTGATCCCTTCATCTCCCTCAGTGTGCAGTCCAGACTGGTTCATCTGCTCAAAGCGTATGCAGGCAATGTCAGAAAACACGCTCAAACAGCTCCCACCGTAGCAATTTCCACCACGCGTCAGCACGCCGCACCTTGCTCTGCAACATGATTGCAATGATGACGCCGTAGATCGCAGTGGCTTCACAGAAAATGATGCTCACGAGGTTCTTGGACCGCACCCGCGGGGCCTTTACAGCAGCTCCCAGGAGACTCGATCCTGTGATGAAGATATCCCTATAGTCCACGGAATAACACCAACCCCCGACCATGAATCAGTCTCGCTCTATATCCTCTTCTTGGCAACACTTGGTAGAAGCTACTCAGCACGCACCAAGCGGCTTCAACAATTAAAAGGTCAAGACAAAGACGACGCCCATAATACCCCATGCGTACGGCGAGATGTTACTCAGCACGTCGCTCCAACCTATTGAAACAGCAAATGGAGGAGCTGGAATTTGGCTACTCAAGAAAAAAAGTCGTTCTGGTATAATCCCCTGATCTTTACGTAGCGACAACTAGGATCCAGAGACTGCCGTTACTGCTACATGTATATCAAATATGACAGCCATCTTCCTCTCGCACGTGCCTTGGTTGAACAACTCGTCGGTAGCGGCGCTCATGTGGAGGATCGTGTGTTGTTTGTCAAGGCGCTTTTTGGTACTGGAACAGACACGGTGCCAGATAGCAAAAATAGTCACTCGTGCTTCAGTGTGAGTATCAAATGACACGTCTCTCTTACAGCTAAATGCTGATCGAAAGTGGTCGCCGACTCTGATCGAAAGAGCATTCGTCTACACAAAGGAAGTCGCTCGTACACGTGGTCACTTCAAGTCATAGACGGGACAAATGCTTTAGGCGCAACATGCGTGGGACATCCTGTCAACGAGCTTGGAGTCGTCACGGAAGCAGCATTGGATACAGAAAGTGCAGTGGCGTACAAAGTTCGAGACAATACTGGACTACAGAGAATCTGCAATACACTACACATGACTGAGCTTAACACTGTTTTTATTTCTTTTATCGTCGCGCCACGAGGCCAATTGTCGTTACGACAGGAAGAGGCTTCCGGCGTGGGGTCGACATTCGACGGGCGCGCTGTCGTTGAAGTTTTGCTCTGGTCGATGAAGCTGCAGTGGCACCCGAACCCCAGGTCTTGCCGTCGACGGTGATAGTTTACGTGGCAGTTGAGTCACCCGCAATGGGTTCGGTGATTGTGGTCACGCTCCGAGCAGAGTTCACGGTACTGTCAAGGGTGTGCGTTACTAGTTTTCGATGCCCTTTGCCTCCCGGTGACGGACCCGAAGCCTCTCGAAGAAAAGCACCTTGTTGAAGTCCAGGTATTTCGGCTTGGCCAGACTCCGCGACTGTTGGAGAGGACGCACACTGTTCGACAGCAGCGGCGATGATGATGAACAGGGTAGCAGAGACACGGTTGACGATCTTCATGATGCTCTTGAAAGACACAAATGGAGTGCAGCTTAGCAAGGTACTGGGTAAAAGTGAGAATGAGGATACTCCGTGCTCGATGCAAGACGCCAATTTGTTGGTCAGTCTTTCAAGGTCTTGTGGATAGTTCGGCGGTACTTCTGTCAAAGGTCTTGTGGATAGTTCGATGGTACTTCTTTCAGAGGTCTTGTGAATAATTCGGTGGTACTTCTTTCAAAGGTCTTGAGGATGGTATGGTTGTACTTCTGTCAAAGGTCCAAAGCAACCCTTGGATAGCCACGACACAAGTAAGAGGGGCAGAGCAGGCTCGTGTGCTGGATATTCGTACGTTTTTGCTCAGTCGTTCGTAGTTCATCACTGGTTCTCTGGTACCCAGATATAACTCAATCGCACGCAACAGCAACTTTTGTATGCATTGCTACTTCCATGACGACTCCAAGTTGGTGGGAAGGATGTCACATGTACCTAGCGACGGAAGTATGTGTCCCGTCATGTCGCTGACAGGAAACAGGGACACGAAGGGACGGCTTGTAAAGCGATTACTTTGTGTAGACACTAACGATAAAAGTCGGCGAGCGCCTTCGATCAACACGTGAATTTGACAGATACGTGCCGTGGTGCCGTCAATCTGTACAAGTGAAACCAACAACGCTAGAGTTGCGATCCACAAGTCCGCATGAAAGCAGACAAATGTCCTGCATCTTCGTGCTCTTGCTTATTCTTCGTAGCCTGCGATGAGTGTTCAGGACAGACCATAGCCCATAAACGGCTCATGCATCAAACAAGTGGCAGTATCACGCCAAAAGCTCTTTTATTGGTAGAAGGTGCGTGTCGCAATGATTGACCGGCAACAAGTGGACACCCATACGTCTGGTCTGCTCGAGGTATAAAAAGCCGTCTTCCTCCCTATCTTTTTGTTAGCTCACTAACCTTTCGGTTATGTTCGCATCCTTTTTGCACTCCGAATACCTCCGGACGGTCTGTGCTGCCTTTCTTTTCCTGATGTCGTCGAAGCAGTGCTGGAAAAAGCAATAGGTTCAAGATAAAACTAGGACATTGTTATTCAGCAGCAACAACAGCTTCACCGATAACATCGGGAAATCGGGAAGTAGTCTCCACCACTTCGTCAACCAGCCCACCCACCAATTAACATGAATTGAATTCCTTTGGACGACCGTTGACGTGATCGTAGAGCACTATACTACGGGAAACAAATACCCACCCACCAGGTTTCCGTCCACCAGCCACCATCCCTTTAAATTACCGTATTTAATTCGATTGAAGCCTTTGGATTGGTAAGATTGTGAATATCACCAATCCCTGAAGTGATTACAATCTTGTTTCGAAAGAGTGAAACACTAGACTTGAACAACCTTACGCATGTCTTTAGGTCGGGAACTCGTGAGCATTTAATGAAGTTACTTCCTTCACCATTCACTGGAACCTGATCAGCTAGGAGTGGCACCAGTCGACGGTAGGGTAGAGTACCTGACATGAGTTAAGTACACTAGCCTGGTTCGATTGCAAGTCGCATTACCCCATGCATACGGCGAGATGTTACTCAGCACGTCGCTCCAACCTATTGAAACAGCAAATGAAGGAGCTGGAATTTGGCTACTCAAGAAAAAGTCGTTCTTGTATAATCCCCTGATCTTTACGTAGCGACAACTAGGATCCAGAGACTGCCGTTACTGCTACTTGTATATCAAATATGACAGCCATCTTCCTCTCGCACGTGCCTTGGTTGAACAACTCGTCGGTAGCGGCGCTCATGTGGAGGATCGTGTGTTGTTTGTCAAGGCGCTTTTTGGTACTGGAACAGACACGGTGCCAGATAGCAAAAATAGTCACTCGTGCTTCAGTGTGAGTATCAAATGACACGTCTCTGTTACAGCTAAATGCTGATCGAAAG